GAAACCCATCCAGCCGAGCAAGCAAAACGAACCGGCTGGATGCAGCGGGGAAGTAGTAACACAAACGAATGAACGAACCGAACAGCAAACAAGAAAGAAGGTTCAAAATGAACACAACGAAGCAACGTAAAGCAAAGAAAAACATGATGCAAATAAGTCCGGCAAGGTCGAGCTGGTTCATTCGAAAATTCCGTGTACACCTGCATGCAGGAAGTGCTTTCATGCACCCTTGTGAGGAAAGTAGACAATTCCTTCATGCGCGTGCCTGTATTCAACATCTGCATAATTGCATGTGCAGTGCATGTGGGTGCACCTTCTGTCCATTCAGGCATGTTCGCATGCACACATGCTTGCAGGTGAGCAGTTCGTCCTTGCGCACGCGAACACGCGGGCAGACTGACCTGTCGTTAGGCCCCGGCGGAATATGTAGATCCCATACTCCGAAAAGACACGAACGCGGCCCCATCTACGAAAAGCACAGCAGCTTGATTCAAGCATTTGGAGTTACTATTAAAGAACGAATAACGATAAACAGCTAACAATAATGTATACAAACGAGCATATACGTACACGTTTGCACACGTGCAGTCAGAAGCGAACAGTACCAATATCCAGGTACACATATAAACACCCACAAACATCTATAATCTTCGCAAGTACACCTATAGTATATGTAGTTTGTATATAGTATATCAACGGACTACTCCCCGTCCCAATATGTAGGCCCAGCAAGCACAAACCAGACTGTCTGTTCAATGAACGCATTTAAACAGAAGCACGGAAACGGCAAACAGCAGCATACTGCCAACTTGGTTCCCAAGTGATTCGCGGCAAACAGGAAAATCAAACAGCGGAGAAAAAAATCCCAAGCGACAAACAGGAGGAACCGTCCACATGGCAAACGGCAACAAACCACCAAAGAATCAAGGGAAGCAAACAACCACACACCCGACACGCTGGAGCAAGCAAAGAGTAAATATACGAAAGATGCACCCTATTAAACAGCCTCACAGACAAAAGGGCAACCGCCATTTCAAGCGAGCCAACATTTTATTTCTTCTGTTAAATTAAAACTGCGTTTGAAATGCCACTAACACTTGTTGTTCTTGTTCGATTACCTTCTTATCATATCTTCATTCTGAAGGAGACGTAGGTCAGCCTCCATTCGCCTCGCTCGGTATTCAAATATGGCTGCCATCACTAAGGCACAAGAGCAAAATATCAACATCCTCTGTGTTACTTAAAAATGCATGCAATAGGTGGGGAAGAAGAGTCCTGATGCGCGTATCAGCAAGTGGGTTGGTAGGTCTGCATGTGGCACAACACTTGTTTCAACTTGTTTCGACAGATGGGGACAAACTCAGTGTTGAACGTTGCTGAAAATGTTACACGTGAACAGCAAAGCTTAAAACTACTGCACACGGTAGTTGTGGAGGACAAGCGGTGTATAGAGAACAATGCAACACCTTTCCCTCGCCGCCTCTCACCAATAAAAATAATGTAAATTAAAATCCACACGTAACACAACGCCAGCCAAAAGGTGAAGAACCAAGGGTGACTTTCTCGTGGCAACTGCATGTCAACACAGAAGCAGCAAACACAAAAGGACAACGGCAGATTGCACACAAGGACAGTGCGCTCCAGCACATTCGCACCACCCGTCCCTTACGTGAACCCCAGTTACGGCATTGGGTAGGGCGCCCCGATCTTGTGTATAGGTCTTCAGCTGTTAAAAATGTCTACTCACACAGAAAGGCGTTTCCTCCTGCACCTCCAGAAACCAAAAGGTACCCACGACTGTCCAGCCAAAGAAGAAGGGAAACAAAATACCGAGGATGAGAACATTCACCCAGAAAGGAGGGCCCCGCTGCCTATACAACATAAAATCCTCTCCGTCCTATTCAGAGAAATATACAGCAAAGAAAAAAGAAGTGCACACGTACACAGACTGTACCTACACAGAAACTATGCCTTGCCTTTTCGCTCCGCCTGTCTTCCCCTACTCTCTGTGACATAAGGCCCTCTAGTACTACCCATGCTCTACCTTTCTACCAATCCTTAGCCTCCTGTTTTCTTCTTTTCTCCCCTCTTTTAGCCTAAGCACAGATCCTACTGCCCTAACGTACGTCTGATAAATACTGCCCCAGGTAGTGGGACAGTCTGAAGGCAATGAGGGCCCCATATGACCCCAACAACCAGTAGTGCACAGGCTTAGCACATGCTGCAAACGAATCCCATTCGACAAAAACATCGGATGACGAGTACAGAAAGGCAAACAACAAAATGGCGTCGTTCCTGGACAGAAAGCACAACGCAAACAGAGTACAATTTACTGACAAACCACAAATGGTTACAGACGCAACTATACCGCATGCACAGCTCTGGTGTACGCACACTCACAGAGTAAACCCCGACACCACCATTTTCTTCCTCGTTGAATGCGGGTGGTGAAGAAGGTAGAAGATAGAGCGATGCCAGAAAGTTGGCACCTCTTGGCGTAGGTATTAACTGGAAATCGTCTTCTCGAATTCGCCGTCCGTCTATTTCACCTCCTCTACTCCCCCCTGTCACCACAAGCTTGTTCCCTCGGACGACCGAGGAGGAGTTTAGTTGCTAACAGAGAGATGCACGTAGAAGAGGGCTACGAAGGATGGTGCAGGAAGGAAAATGGGCAGGTATATAGAGGAGAGTGCTAGAGCGTCTGCTGTTGGTTATTATCAACCGAGGAGCACACATAGCCCGAAAAACAAGCAGATAAGCTGCCCTTGGTTTGGTTAAGTTTGGTGTATTTCCGTTGATGCTTTTGCTCCGATTTCAACAAGACCTTTGTAAGTTGCGCAGTTCAGCTGCACGTAACGTCAGCGACTGCAAAGAAAAACAGTTTCTGCGTTAAAAAAACAGGGGAGAAGGGGGATCAAGGCGGCGCCTCTGATATTGAGCTTCTGGAAATCAAATAATGACAACAGCTGAATATGGGGGGAAATACGATGGTAAAAGCGCAAGTGAACGGTCTAACTCTCGATGCAACAGAGTCAATCGGGAGAGTTCCAGCACCAACGCAGGGAAAACAGCAGCAAGGCAGGGAAGGGGCTCTCAACCCATTGCTACGGAATGGCTAGGGTCTTAAGATGAATATAAATCAATCAATAAACAGGCAGTGGGGAAGAAGATGATATGTACAGCACAGGCAAACACAGAAAGCAGTCAAAGGAAAGGAAGACCCCCAGGAGGGAAAAAGAACGGGCCTAGAGGGGGGAATTACGATAACAACTTGTGAAATAAATGAAGAAATCCTATAAATTTCGTAATTATGAACACGCAAGTCTCAGGTGTGTCTACACCACAGGGCGGAGTTTGCCTCGGCAGCAGCTTCCTTTCGAGTCTGCTTGCAGCGAGCCGCTTGAGGTGTGCCGACGCTGCTCCTCCGATCATTTAAAATACCCTTAGATTCTCCTTTGTCCCGATTGTATTGCAAACTTCAAATTAATGCATCTTTTGAGTTTTTCTTGCTGTGTTACCCCGGAGGAAGGGGATACAACGCCCGCATCCACACTCCGTCTGCTGTACCGACCACGCTTGTACCGCCAGATCTGCTGGCACGCATCGTTTGCTCTTTTTGCAATTGAATACAGGCGTTTACTTTAGCTTGATGAGGAGTGACAGTACTCAAGAATCTAGCTGTTATTTGCTTCTTAGCGGTCCACAAGCGACGCCTTTGACTGCAGAACAATGCAATGCACACAGACGCATACTGGTCAACCAAACGCAGTTTTCAGTGAACTAAAGAAAGGTGTTCCGTCGCTCCAAAGTTCGTAAATTTATTATTTAGATTACCCACCCGAATAGTCAGCAATGCTGGGCGTTGCTTTGCAACCGGTCCATTTTTTGGTGGTACATGAGAACCCCACTGCGTTGTTCCCAGAGCCACTCCGCGCTCCCACTTGAACTCTACTGAAGGGAGGCGAACAAGTTCAACTTATTTTCCAATTGAAGTATCACCCTTCCTGCCGCGTTGCAACGCAGCAGCTTGTATAATGCCGCCCTGCACTGGTGGCTGCACATACTGTAGCGGCAGCAAGCAGGGAGGCTATCCGGATGTTCTTCAAATAAGAGATCACAAGGAATAAAGCTTCAATCAACTGATAGGGGGAACAACAAGTGGCACCGAGCTAGCTACCCGGGTGGTTAGCCGCTTTGCTAACCAACCATCTAGCTAGTCAGCCCCCAAATATGATCTAAGCGAATAACAGAAGTTTGCGCGGGCCACACCGCTTAAGGCTAGTCTCCAGCGTCATGCTTGTATACACCACAAATACGTGCAGCACACAACAGAAGTAGACACACACCGAGTGCAGGGGAATCGGGGACGGACATATATCCAGGATGGATGGACCAGACAGGAGATAGACAAGTAGCTCTCCCTCTACACTAGCAACCATCAACCTTAAAGCGGGAGTAGACTGAAGATCTTCTGCCGCCTTTTTACTGGGACTCGGGAGTTTATGCCTCCCTCTGCCCTTAGCCATTCCTAATGTCATTGCTGGAGCAGTTCAGGGAATATAACCTAGGGAGGCTGTTCTTGTAAGGTCGTGGAAGGACACATATATACAAGTTATGTTGTTTTTTGCCTATGAGCTCTCTAGTTGTAACAATAATACACAACAAAGCCGTGTTGTCATCTGCTCCCGAGCCCCTCCCCCGGAAGACGAGATGGATGCTACTGTTTTCTGCGGCAGATACGCAGAGTAACATCGGGGGGCAGCAGCAACAGCACCACATAACCCGCTGCTGCTGCCTTTCGCTGCTGCTGTAGCAGCGGAGGCAGCCATTTGTGCCTCTATGCCTAGCCCCACTGCGATGAGCAGCACGATAAGCAAATACTTTGGACAGGACGATCTTACGATGCGTGGAAGCGAGAGCGCTTGAGTAAAAACAAAGACGCACCCTCCTGCCTCAGACCTCCTGAGGTGTACGTACAAAAGGCATATGCGGAACTGGACCTAGCTTTTGTTCAACATGTTGCGCAGTACATAGTGTAGAGCGCCTCCATTTCTGAAATATTCCACCTCGACGTCAGTATCGATGCGGCACTTCGCCTCAAAAGATTTCCCGCAGTCCGTAGACACCCGCACTATGGACCCAGGAACGAGCCGCCCTCCATTCAAAGCAATGTTAAAGCGCTCCCGCCCTGTGCAGGACCAACAACAGCAGGGCACCGTATGAACTAAACCCAGGAGTAGTATCAAAAGAGCAGTAGAATAAAAAGCAACAGCAGTAGCATGTGAAAAAACGGGCACACCACATGCCCATAAAACAGATAAGTGTCCCGCCGAACGCAAGACACAAGAGAGGAGACCACATGCATGCGAGCCACTCAGGTGTGCACACAGCCACATCAGAAAACGAATGAGAATTACCTGTCAGCTTCAAAGTGTCCGCAGACTGCCCCTCTAGAAACTGCAGAGGTAATATACCCATACCCACGAGATTACTGCGGTGGATCCGCTCAAAGGACTCCGCTATAACAGCTTTCACTCCTTGCAAATAAGGACCCCTAAAGTTGGGATTCATATACGCATAGACAGGCACAATCCACACAATTCTCGTAAACATAAAGTATATACCTACTACACACAGATTTTACATTCATGTTTACATATGCATAACAGAGGCAGCATCTCAATTTCACTGCGTAAAGGCCAATAATCAAGACTCTGTGCATTAGGATCTCTCGGTTTAGTCTTAGACTGTGCAGGGAGGTCCTCCCTTAATCCAATACTCTAGGGTTCACTTCTGCGAATGCCCATCTGATGCCGCTTAAACGGCAGCAACTGGCTTTATGGTTTAAGCATTAGGATATACTGTCTTGTGGCATGTCCTCTAGCAACTGATACACACGGATCTCACTTGGCTGCCCAGTCTCTGGAGCTTCCACTGCCGTATTCTTTGCCTGCTAGGACAATCATTGGTTGGCCTTCTGCTCGATACCGCTCAGCTACCTCCGAGACAGGCAAAATTTCGTTGGTCGGCAAATGCATTGCCTTGGGCCCTGCAGAGGGGCACATCTTATTCACCAAACGAATATTTGCGAACGTTCCTCGGACCATCACCTGCAGCAAAAGACAAAGTATGTCCCTCACCATATATGCACACCAGATGGCCTAGCATACACACCAAAAAATATAAACACCGCTGCCTTTATACCTGATATGGAAGGCAAAATTATGCACCTACAGCACTCGCTTCCCTTGATTCTGGTTTGATATTTCTTCAAACGACTTAGTCCTCTCCAACACACTTCGAGTACACACGATGCAGTAGCGCGTAAGTAAACAACGCAAGCCATAAGCACACTGTCCTCGTTGAAGTAAGCAAAAGGAGAGAATAAGAAACCTGCAGTGATATTTATATTCGGGGCATTAATGGATATTCCTGCCCTCACCTCGTCGTTGCCCCTTCGGGATCCGTAGGTGTTGAAGTCTTTACGTTCAACTCCGAGGCTTTGAAGGTACTTGGCAGCTGGGGAGTCCTTTGCTATGTTGCCTGCAGGGGAGATGTGGTCTGTGGTGATAGAGTCTCCAACGCTCAACAAGCAATAGGCTGAACGAATGTCCGGGATCAACGGTAGAGCCCGCTCCATCGTCTAACATTACACATACACACGCAAGCATAAACAGGTCTGTTCGTGCAAGCATATGAATGTTTGCGCATACTGCACATATACGCGTATACATGTGTATGCACAAACTTATATATACAGTCTTGACAAGTGTGCAGACACATACATATACATCTAACATGCATAGTGACATAGTGGGATTGTGCGTATAAATACGTGTGAGGGAGCATGTAAGCAATACTCATAGAGACAGAAGATGCAATATAAACATTCTGGGGGAGGACAGCCAATGAAAAAGGGAACGAAAAGTCGGGTTGAATGCTATGAGGCGATTGCTGCACGAAAGAGTCAAACGGCAGAGCGCAACCAAGTTGTGCAGAGGGAGAACATCTGCATGCAGCCCCATACACATGCCTGTAATTTTATTCTGGTAAGATGTATGCTAACAAAGCGTTGGGATTATGTGCATTCACAATGTGTTGGTACTATGCTCTCTGACAATACAGTGTAACGTAGACAGTTAATGCCGCAGTATTACCATTCTGAATGACCAGTTAACTAAAGCATGTGAAACTAACAAAAAAGAACAAGCAAACACAAGTTAAACAAACACACAAGCAGAAAACGATAGAAGCGGACCTTGAAGAACGGCGGATTGTGAATGTATGTTGAGTCATCGCGCCAATCATACAAAACACGGGAATCCGACGTCTCCAGCGCCTGCCACTCCGGTGTCCCTTGCGTGATGGTGCTGTAAACTCTCTTAAACATGTCGGGGCCCAAATACTTCTCAATCACTGGCTGGACCTCACTGGAACACAGTAGCAGCAGCAAGCAGCAACATACAGGGAGCTCTCGGAATGGAATGTGTGGCCTGTTGGTTGTCTGTATCCAGCTAGTCTGCTTACGACTACCGTCTGTCTGCCCACCAGCAAACCGACGACTGAAATGCAACGTGGACACACTGAATGCAGCATCAAACTATAGAGGAGGCTAGTTAGCAGTACCAGCACAAGAGGCACGATCTATATGAGGGTACTGAGTAGCACCAGCAGTACGAAGATAATGCGCAGCAGCAGCAGAAAACCTTAGGCAATGCAGCCTGGCAACAGAAACAGCAACGGCACTTAAATTTGGTTGTTGCACAGCACCAGCAGGATGCTATGGAGATCTTATTGTTGGCTCAGTGTATTAGGCTGCAGGTACGCACGCTCGGCTTACTCCCTGGTTGGCCATAAGTCCTTGAGAAAGACGGGCTTGCCTTCTTTGTCATGTCCAATGGGTTCGGTGTCGAAGTCGATGTCAATCCGCCCCGCAAGTGCATAAGCAACAACAAGAGGAGGAGAAGCGAGGTAGGCAGCGCGGGTGAGGGGGTGTATGCGTCCCTCAAAGTTGCGGTTTCCAGATAGGACAGAAGCGACCACAAGGTCTCCTTCTTGGATGGCCTGAGACACCTCGCGGTCGAACTCTCCTGTGTTTCCAATGCAAGTCATGCAGCCGTAGCCGGCGAGATAAAAGCCCAGCTCCTGTAGAGCCTCCAGCAAACCAGCCTCCTCCAAATACTGAGAAACGGCCTTCGAGCCAGGAGAGAGAGACGTGACGATGTAAGGAGCAACGCTCAACCCTCGTGCCACTGCGTTCTTAGCCAACAGACCTGCAGCAAAGATCACCCCGGGGTTGCTGGTGTTGGTGCAGGAGGTGATGGCCGCTATGCAGACAGAGCCGTGCTTCAACTCGTACTCCTTTCCTCGAAACTGAAAACGCACCACCTGCTGCTGCTGAGCCTCCGACAAACCAAAACCTTTAAATCCGACAGGCTGCTGCAAACACAATCGAAAGTCCCTCTTAACATCAGAAACCCCCACGCGGTCTTGAGGACGTTTCGGCCCCGCCACACAAGGCTGCACATCACTCAAGTCCAATTCCAACACATCGGAGTACGCAATGCGAGAAGATGCTTCAGCCCCTGCTCCTTCTCCAGCTCCAGGTGATGGCTTCGGTGCTGGTGCTGCAGCAAACAGTTTGTTTGCCTTGGTGTAATGCTCCACTAGATCCACGTGGGAAGCAGGACGACCCGTCATACGCAAATACAACAGCGACTGCTCGTCCACTGGGAAGAAGCCGCAGGTGGCCCTACGCATACACCCGCAAGGCATAAGGCCTAAACCCTAACTAACCCTTAACCCGAATGAAGCCTAAACCCGCAATATGCTCCTCAACGCACACGAATAAAAGATACCTGAACAACCGGCACTTCGTATAGACCCACGGCCACGAATGAAGAGCCCTCTTCATTCTCAGGCGACAATTGACACCAGCTAAGGCGCATTGGTGAAATTTTGCTGCTACGATGTCTCAGAATTCGTTTGAAGGGTCAGCCTGAGTGTTCCAACGACCCCGATTGTTGCAGTGCACAGGCAACCGCAATGCTGCACAGTACATAGCAAAAATATTTGTGATACACCCTGCATACAACTGCTGCCGCGTACTGGGCGATTGTTCACTGAAATAACTCCGCCAACATCCTCCAGTTTTACTCGACCCGTTCGATTGAACAGCAGCAGCGAAATGAAAAAATCACTACGAAGGCAGCCCATCCCAAGAACTTTACCAACACCAGCATGAACATTTTGAATTGGCGCTTGTGTTTGCAGCTGCTGTTACGTTCGTTGCCTTTCCGTTCAAGTGTGGCACAATTGGTGCATTTATCGTCTGGCCCGCGCATGCGCCTCTCGTGTCAAGACACCATGATACAGCAACTGGCTGCGCTGCGGTTTTAACAACAGCTAAGGAGATGGCACAAGGGACCCGCGCGCACCCGTATTCTGGAGCCATGTTGGAAACCGTGGCCCTGTCTGCAAGGGATAGGTGTTGGAGTCCTGGGCCGAAAAACTCGACGAACTTCCCAACGACTCCTTTGCGCCTAAGCCTCTCTGTGAGGGTCAGCACCAGGTCGGTGGCTGTCACCATCGGGCCCAGCTGCCCTGTCAAGTGAACGCCAACCACCTCAGGCAACACCATCGAGATGTGCTGCCCCAACATCACCGCCTCCGCTTCAATACCTCCAACTCCCCAACCCAACACGCCCAACCCATTCACCATCGTCGTATGCGAATCCGTCCCGACGACAGAATCAGGATACAACACTTCCAAATCGCTGCTGCTGGCTCTGCTGCTGCAGTTGCTGCTGTTGCGGTTCGTCATGACGACGGAGGCCAGGAACTCCAAGTTAACCTGGTGCACAATCCCGGATCCGGGGGGCACGATGCGCATGTTGTCGAATGCCTTGCTGCCCCACTTGAGGAAAGCGAAGCGTTCTTTGTTTCGCTGCATTTCTTTTTCGAGGTTCTTCTGCAGAGCCGCAGACGAGCGGCTGAAGTCCACCTGCACCGAATGGTCCACCACTAAGTCCACGGACACCAACGGATTGATCAAGCGCGGGTCGCCGCCTAGGCGGGCCATCGCGTCCCTCATCGCAGCCAAATCCACCACAGCAGGCACACCGCTAAACACACAGACACAAACTAACAGTCCGGAAAGCGAATAAATCAATGTATTACTAGTCAAACGGAGAACAATTCCACGAACAGGTGCACCCACCAACGAGCAAACCAATCAATGACCAAACAAAAATTCGGTTAAGAAAAGAAAGCATAAACAAAAGCAAAGGTACACAAGCACAAAACCCAAACACACCAACAACAATAACCAACACCAATTTCGGAAATGCGTCATATGGAGGGTGCCACTGCTGGGGAGAAGCCCCACGTGAAGTCCTGTAGAAGAACTCGAGCCGGAATAAACGGAATTTCTTTCTGCTCTCTGCTCGTCTTCGGCCAATTCAAAATTCGCTCCACGTCATCCTCCGTCACTCTGCAGAAGCCGCCCCCTCCCCGTAACCCCGAAAAATCCACAGTGTGTGCTCGCATGTATGTGCAAAACACGCTGTGAATATACATCTTACTGCGCATGCAGTAAGAGGGAAACTGAGTACAGAGAGGTGACAGTTGCCTGTATGCTGGTCTTGCACATTATATGCATATAGAGGTATACACGAACAAACGCATGCATATGCGCACATATTGAACACATATATCAAACCATATGCGTGTATATTTACAAACATGCATAAGCCTAAGACTATAAAGCCAACCGCAGATACGCGCACACGCATAAAAGTGTGTTTGCATAATTGTACACATGCATATACCGACGTTGCTCTGCTTGTATCCTAAACAAAAGCGTACACAGTCTATGTACTCCATAAATGAGAGCGCAGACACTATCAGAGAAGCATTATAATGGACTCAATAAACACGCATGCGAACGCAGCGAAGGCACACTGTGGACCCATGCAGTCCTTACACTGCTGCAATGGCTAAGACCCACCGGAAGCCGTCGCAGTTCCGCACGGCGGACTCTAACAAAATCCGCACAGAAAATGGCAGCGCCTCGTAGCGTTCCCCCCCGAATGCTATAGCAAAAGCAGAAGACACCCCCCACAATACAACGATAGAAGTTATCATCGCATCAAAAGCCCTCTGCATAGGCACTCAACATATACACTGACACGTAGATAAACACCAATACAAACATACACACGTTGTTCTCCACAGATTCGCTGTAGGGGTACCCCACAGAACAAGGACCACTACCACGAACTGGGCCCCTCCAAAAACACAGGCATCGCCACCGGGCGGCAACTGATGTGTCTGAGGCACCCATGTTGCAGCGGGACAAAAAGCAGCCACAGGAGGTTGTCTGATCTGGTGGTATTGCAACATAACAGAAGAAAATACAAACAGCGATCGAACCTGTAAGGTCATAGTACGCCTTCTGTGTGCCCTCGAGTGTCTTTAAAGCGCTGCGGAATGCGGCCCCTTTCTGGCCGCTGCTAAAACGGCGAATGCCAGAAATAAAGGAAGACGTAAGGACGCCCTTTGGGGGGCCCCGGTTGGAGACACCGCAGGGCCCCCGTGAGCGCAGCGAGGCCACCAGTAGCTGCCGCATGTTACGCTGTGTCAGTTGCCCTTGCAGCAGCAGCAGCCCCAGCAGCTGTGAGGTGTTGAGGTGAAGAAGAATAGAGGAAAGGAGAGAGAAGAAGGATGCGAAGTTGAGAGATGGCTAAAGCCCATAACGCAACGATGATGGCTGTTTGTTTCAGTGCTGCTGGCTCGTCTGCGGCTGCAGCCCGTTCAGGTAAAGGGGAATTGTTTGCGACGTTTGAGTTCAGATTGATGAGTCGAATTAATCTACAAAATCTTCAGAGGAAAGCCGAGTTTTATCTGCTCACGCTTGAGACACACCGCCGCGCAACGAAGCAGCCGCCAGTCAACCTCGGGGCTTTCGCAAGAACTTCTCCGGTGGCTGCTTCGTTCGTCCACATCCTTCTACTTGTTTTTATTTGTTGAGCATATGTATTTCTTTCATTTGCAATAACTGTCGTCGAAGTATTGTCGTTTCTCCCTTCTTTTCTACTGCCTTCTCCTCCCCAGGTCAGCATGGGGGGCGATGGCGGCTCTTTTTCACACCGCACCGAGATGGTGCGGACGAAAGGATTTAAATTCCTCCGCAATTTAGGAGGAATGGGATATACTCCAAATACTCAAATACGAGAAGGGGACGAACGATTGGGCAAAAACGAAAGCCGCGATCTCCGCAGCTCTGCATGTGCTTACTCGCAGGTATTCAAACCTACCCGCTTCAATAGTTTGCCAACGTTTCACGTAGAACTATATGTTGTGGGGTATTTTTTAAACATATATACGCAAACTGGAGAAAATTTTTTTCTAGAGGCGAACGCAGCGCTTCATCGAATGGGTGGAGATACACCTGGGAGCACTGGTTTGTGGAGACAAACCTGTGTCGAGTATTGCCTTCACGCTTTTCTCTTGTGGCATATGCATATGATGTTTGTTCCTATGCGTGGTCTTCCCCTGCTTACACTCAGAAGTCGTTTTACAGTTGAAATTGGCCGGTGCCTCCTGGAGTTTTCTTTGTCTATTTTTCTCTTGTGCTCCAGGAGAAACTTCAACCTCCACTTCTGGCATGTAGAATTGGCCGTTTGTACAACAAGGAGGCGGTCATCAAGGCTCTACTCGAGAAGGCTCTTCCCCCCCACATGAGGCACGTTAAGTCCCTTAAAGATATGAAAGAACTACGTGTTGAGGTGAGAGGTGCATGCCTGCACCAATGCAGGCCATCGGCCGCCTAACCCCTTCTTCTAGGCGATTTTTGCATGTACGCATGCGCTTATTTTCCTTCTAGGGTTCTGAAAATTGCTTCCCTTCTCCGAGGATTTCTTTTGGTGTCTTTAGTGCACAAATTTCTGTGTCTGTGTGTTTTTATTAATCTTCAGATTAACGCATCCACAGGTTTCCCTGTTTGTCCCATCACCAACGCGGACCTGAGCAGTGGCGTGCGCGCGTCCATCGTTTGGCCCTGCGGCTTCATCATTTCCAACAGAGCCTTAGAAGCTATGACGCTTAAGGTGCTCTACGATTGCGCGGTTTTTTCCTTGGGGTTTTTTGGTTCCATGTTGAGGGTTTAGCTTTTGGGACTGAACCATATTTTGAGGGTTTGCGCCCGTATTTTGTCTGCAGGATGGAGAAAGTAACAAACTCGACAGCAACAGCAACAGCAACAGCAGCAACAACAAGAGCACCAGCGTGGAATCTGGGCGCCCGAAGATTAGGGGCTCTTTTGTATGTCCAATGTGCGCTAAGGAGCATGATGCAACAGAAGACCTCATTCCGCTTTCTCCTGATGAGGAGGAGACATCTCAGCTCCTGGAAAAGGCGCTGCTGCAGCAGCAAGCAAAACTAGCGGCCAAGAAGAAAAACAAAGCAGCAGCAGCCGCAGCAGGCCCCAGTGCTGCCTCAGGTAGCAGCACCGTCACTCCGTCGTCTGCTCAGACCGATGCGAAAGAGGAGGCGGAGAAGCCGAAGGCCACAACCCCTGAAAATACAACGGGCACGCCAGCAAGTCACGCTTCGAATAAAAGGAAACACGAAGTACTCGCACCACTCCCAACATCTAAGCTTCTCAGAGATTGGGTCTTAGAGGCTGAAGCTGCCGACCTGCCACCTCCCGCCAACAGCTCGAAACACAGAAAAGTTGTTGCATAGAAATCGGGTCGTTAGACTGTGTGTCTGTTGTCGGTGCGCACTTGTGGTGAGCACATCAATATGGTATGTGTCTAGACACGCAGCCGTTGCCTTTCGACTTTGTTGCCTTGTCGTTGTCGCATTTGCGAGTCAAGAGTTTTTCCGTAATCCAGCACAGAACGAGGTAGCATAAGCTACGAAAAAATGCAGACATTTACAGGACAATTGGCGTTGTAGATATTTGTGCTCCTTGTTTTCGGGTCACTTGTCGATCGCTGGATGTCTATAGTAGGCCGCACAGACCTACGGAGTAGGGAGTTAATTTGTGTTTTACGCCTTTTAAATGGGATACAACAATGCGCAAACACCTCGCAGTTGAAAGCCCATCAAAATAGCCTTTGGTGCTTTGGTAGCAGGCTACTCTTTGGGGTGTATGCACAGCTGAAACTTGACACGGATTGGCCGCTGTTCTTGTTCCGCCAGTGCGTGAGGCGGAATTAAATTGCCAGTTGGTAGTAATCAGACTGTTTATCATCCTACTGACTACAAGCAATGCCTAATCATTTCATTTTTCTGTTGGTTTGCCCTTCAATTGTTACAGAAGCGTTAGGCTTCCCTCTCGTGAACCCGCTCGCCGCCTACAGCAGAGGCGCGAAAGAAGTGAACGAAATTTGCGTGAGTACTGGCGGCCATGAAGATGGTGGTGGTCCTTACGGTGCAGTTCAAGAGTACCTAGAGGGTGAAGCGTCATATTGAACTCTTCGTCTTGTCACGCAATACCACGAAATGCATCGAAATGCGTTGGCAGATATTTGGGGAATTATCGAAGGGGGGATCGACGCCGGCGACTGCCAACGTGGGCCAATGAGCGGGACGGATGCGTTTCAGTCGATGTTTCTCATGAGTGAGAAGTAAGCAGATAGAAACAGAGCCCCTTCTTAATGTCTTGTAGCCGTGAACGTTCATTGGAGTGCAACAACATTAATATGCATGCGTGAGGACACGTACAGAAATATGCCATACACGTAACCAGGAAGCGGTTGTCGTCGCAGGTCAAGCACTCCTTGGTATTGTTGAGGGGCTGCTGTACTCGAGAAACCGCAGCAGGTAGTGCACCGTTTGTAGTTCACTTGCTCTTCTACAGTGTGCAGACACCCATCTTTGCCTGCCAGATATTACTGTCCTGCTGAAGAGCATGCAGCGTAATGTCGATAGGGTGAGGCCCCTCAATCTGTCCCATAAAACTCGAATCCCCAACAGTATCTCTAAACAATGCTTCGAAGATGAAAGACGCAGACCCTCGAGTTAGCGAACTCTGTCCTGCTGTAACCCATGAAATGGCAACACAAGTAGCCGTCCTCCTGGCCAAGGTATTGCAAATACACCTCAACTGCCTCCCCCACCTCGCAGCGCCGCAGCCGTATTGAAGAGGCTGTTGCAAGGAGCTAGATTCATAACTGGATCGCCAGCTAATAAACTTGCCCTCTAGGCAGCCTCTGGCTACCTGGCTACCTAACTAGCAACCTAGCAAGCAGCGAGCTGCAGTTACACGCGCACCAAGACTAATTCCCTGGAAAGCCGCGTAACTAACAAATTAAAAAAAAATATTAAGTCCTCAGAACACAAAAACACTGGCCTTTATTTTCCGCCCGCTTTAAAGTGGAGGCGTGCATGCATATACTCTGCCATACAAACATGCATGCGTGGATATTCAACGCACATTCATGCATGCATGCATGCATGCCTCTGGCGCACATGGGGGTTCACACCCGCGGCTGTTTCTTGCTCAATCAGTACACATCACAAACACGGGAAGACGCCTGCCTTCACGACCAAGAGCAGACGGTACCCGTCCCCTAAAAACCCAAGCTGTTGGCTGCACCGGCCGCTGCAAAAGGAATGCAGATGGCATGCATCACATATATTAAGTTCGCATACATATACATGCGTGTATGTGGAGGCACCAGCTAAACAGCCAACAGGAGGTGTTCTTTTGTCTGCATCGTCGCCCCGGCCTCTGCCGCTGCGTTCGTCTGGTTGTCCTCCACTGTAAACTGAGTTGGACCGCTGGACTCCCCGTCTTGCATTTTGTGCTTGCCCATCTTGCTGCTATCCTGTACCGTGCCTCTGCCTTTAAACACGCAGTTACCTTTGCTTGGTTTGTTGCCTTCGATTGGTTTCTGCCCTCTATTTAATCTGCAGTTTTTGCCGGTGCTACTTTGCCATGCGCGACAAGGTCCGGGTGTACTCCTGCTCGCAGGAAGTTGTCTGCGCTAGCTGCCGGTATGTCTGCGGGCATGAAGGTAGCGTCGTCGCCCATCGCTACACGGCCTAGCACGCGGCCGTCTGCTGCAGCTGCTAGGCTCGCTATAGTCTCATGCGTGTATGCGAGCTTGGCTAGTTGACGAGGAGAGGGAGAACAGCAAGCCATCCATAACAACCATAGCATCGTCACCAAACACCAAAACGCATTCTCCGAAAAACAGTCGTGGCTGCAGGTCGTACACTGCAACAAGCGCGCGCAAACACACATATCACATTGGCGACATTGGCGCCTACAAATGCGGGCCTAGGAAGAGGTGCTCAATACTCATCGACACACCAGAGCACGGAATAAATAAATACACTCCGCATGCGACGCTGCACCAAGAAACTTCAGTGCTAAGGAGAAACGTTATTGGGGCTTGTACGCAGGACTGAATGCATGCATATTCGCATCAATGAATGGTATGCAAAAATACGCGAGAACAGCCACTAGAAGACACGAATGACACACACACGTAAAGCTTGGGTTGATTTGTACGTAGACAGCATGCGCGCTACCTTATTAATTCATTTCCGCTGCATACGTACGCCCACGTGTGCACCTAGCTCTCCCAAATTGTAAATACCATACTCACTATGTCACTAGGGCGAAAGCATACACTACACACTACACAGAATACATGCATATTGGCTCGTCCATCAAAAAGCATCCGGTAGAAGCTCATCGATGGAACAAGAACCACCCTCAGGCCTGGCTCACCTGCGAGAACTGCACCCCGCTGACAACGGCCAGGATCAAGAAGGTGCAGACAACCAACAGACCGAATAAACGCATCACCTGGGACAACTCTCCAATCGTGAACCGCGATAACCCGTTCTGAATAATTGCTGCGCGCTGAAATACGTAGTAGTTAAACGCCATCTGCATACAGCCATCATACAGATACACCCAAAAATACGTCCATACGAATGCTCATATTAAGCAGAATAAAAGCAACAGAAGAGACATATGCGGCATGGGCTCTCTTCTTGTCTTTTCGGTTATCCATAACAGCTGCCTATATAACCAGAAAGCAGGAGCAGACACCGCAGGCACGGAACTTACAACGGAAGCGGGCAAAGCAGATATGAGGCTCCAGTACATGGGTATCGTCCTCGGGCTCCTGCGATAAAAGGAGTATAAACACAGAGTGTCCCCTATGCAAAATGGTGGGGCTCCCTATATTCTAAGTGCAGGAGAGGGTACATGCATGCAGCTGGCAGGGCCAATACAGCAGAGGCCCGAGACTACTCCCCAGACAGCAGTAACCCTCGAAGAAAAGTATTTTCCAAGAATGTATGCTTATGATTACTGAGACTACGAAGAAGCACTAAAAGGGTAGCTCGGAAAGGGAGGTCGAAGCATAGGCAGCTCCCGCTAGGTGGTCGCATGCTTGCGTACTCATCGTGAACAGTCGGGTGTACGGTATAGTAACAGAAACAGCATGTGGCGAACACTGTCCACGTGCAGGGGAAAAAGAGAAAAATTACATCTTGAACAGTCAGGTCGCAGACAGCGCCAAAGGCCCGTCTCCTGAGGCAGTTCCGCGCCATCCTGTACTCAGGGGCGAGACAAGGAGGAAGAGAGACGATGAAGTGTCATAAAAGCAAAAGCACCAGTAAAAAACAGAAAGGGCAAGACGGATTTCCTAACAGTACCAACTCCAGCTCTGGGGCCCTCGGGTAGGCCCCGCGGTGCCCTCCTTTAACCCCAGACCACCACGCGATGGCGGTAAAAGAGACGCCGTCTATAAACCTGCCGAATAAGTGCTTATCAATGCCCACAAAAGCATTCTGTTTATTTTAATCCAATTTTGGTTTAAATTGCTGGCAAAATGGGGGATATTGCGTAGCTGACTCGGGAGTATGCACACCTCAGGAGCCGGCTAACTACACGCAGGTACTCTCAGCACGCACAGCGCTGCAGGGCTGGTGCTGTCAGGCGTACCCCTCTATCAGAGAGCAAAGTTTGTTTTCAAAATTCGTGTGTTTCTCTTTTCTTCTGAAGATATTTACATTTCGCAGTTATAGCGTGTTCAGAACTCGCGACAAAAGGGCCCACAACAGCCACGCAAGTGCCTCGGTTCCCCCTTGAGATCATCGTTCAGGTGTGCGTACAGCACAGCAGCGCAGTGCGTGTGCAGGCGGCAGTGAGGTGTGCTGGTGAATCATCATCAGTATCATTTGCTTTCTTTCTTTTTTTTCGCGAATTCCATTTGAGTCTTGAAAATGGCTAGCGGAATGCCCGTTAATGACATCTGCGTGACGACTTTTAATGAGCTGAAGTTGCGTCATGCCTTCAAATGGATCATCTTCAAGATAGACCATGACGAAATTGTGGTGGAAAAGAAGGGGACCAGCGGCAAGGAGGACTTCTCCAAAGAACTACCTACAAGCGATTGCAGATACGCAGTGTATGACGAAGGTAAATATATACATCTGTGCATTTTTGGTCTTCTTTCAACTACTGCAGCGGGAGCAACCACACACGTAGCAGCTGCGGGCGGTCCCTGGGGTGGATGCTGCTGCTCCTGCGTGCATGTTGCTTGGCCCGTTGACCATTATGAATTCCGTTACTTGGCTCCTTAAAAGTTGTGTCATGTGTTTCTTCGGAAGCAGCTGCCTCCTGCACATTTTGCACAGTTGGTTTGTGTGCTGCCGCTGAGGCCTCCCGCTCGCCGGTCATCGTTGCTGCACACTTCCTGTTCAGCAGATTATTACAGGTAGAGTTTCTTATTTGGTGATTTGGTGTTTCATTGCGGTGTATCGATGCAGGGCAGCGCATCCACTTCATCCTCTGGTCGCCAGACTGTGCCCCCGTGAAGCCCCGCATGATATACTCCTCTTCGAAGGACGCACTTGGGAAGAAGCTGGAGGGCACAATGGCCACCACGCTGGAGGCACACGAGCTGGGCGATCTCAGCGTGCTTAACTAGATGCGCAGCTATTCGCCAGCAGCACGACGCAGCAGCAGCCGCTGATGCATTTGCTGCAGAGGGGGACAGTAGAGTTAATGCATTGGGGTGGTGTTATGGTGTTGTGAATATGCTCTCTGTCAGTTGAGCTGTTTGTGGTTCTGATTTTGTTTCTTTGGCCCATCGCAGCGTCTGAGCTGCCGAGGAGTCATCAGACGAACAGGCGGCGAGTTTGCTGTGGGCGTCACAGCGTAACTGAGCTGCAGCTGGTGCCTTCTGCTGCAGGGCAGCATAACGGTCGAAAGAAACAATTAACAAATCGGATTAAATGAGTGACAGCGGCTCTCAAAAATCGGTACGGAGAGTAGGAGCTTAGTGAACATGCACAAAGGAGGGAGGGCGTTGCTTAGAGCTGTTGCTCTGCTAGGATCTGTATATTTTTGACTGCGAGTACAAAGAGCGAGAAAGGCAGTTGGAGGGTTGCAGCACATGGTTGCAATCCCGATAGAAGGGGGGACGTACTGAGTGGGAGTTTAAAGCGTAGTGGGGTGAAAGGACCGAAATTCCAGAAGAATAACTAGTTGCCAGGACACTGGGTGGCTTGCCAGTTGGTACGGCGGGAGGTGCATTTAGACACTTAGCAATAGATGCAATTGCGGTAGTATTTATAGGCTACGGAGGGGGCACAAGGGAGGCGCTTTTTAAACTAAAAGAGCCGAAACGGAACGGACCATGCAGGCATCGCAAACATGCTGTGCATATGCGAGCACGCATCGCAAACATGCTGTGCATATGCGAGCACGTACATAAATTTGGCTTGTATGAGGACCTCCGGTTTCGGACCTCTGGTTTCGCAAACCGGGTGTGTTCGGGATGTAAAATAACTCCCATAAGCTGTAACTTGACAAAACTGCTTAGAAGATGAAGAACTATCATTATCCAGCATCCAGATGCCTGAGCGGCAGGAGGACAATGGTGAAGATGTGGTGACCGGAGTTTCCGCCACACTTCTGCTACTACTGCTACAACGGGACTCCTCGTAGCAACATTGTGTAAGCGGCAAAAGAGTCACATGCTTGAAATAAGATCTCGGAAGAACTCCTCTCCCTCACGCCACCTGAAAATTCGTTGCATCGCGATGTGTACGGGGAAGATATGCCCCCATGCAAGGACAACCAGCCACCACACAGCCCCACTTTACTTCATGAATTAACACTATAAAAAGATGCTAAACAAGTGCTTGGTCGCTAGGTCGCCAACCTGCTGGGAGATCGTGATACTCGTATAAACTGTACACCTAGCGTTCAACAGTTTCCCTCGTGGGGCCAGACCAGTGCAAGCACCAGACCCTGTAACCTTAAACCCCTCCCGAACACACCCCAGATAACTGTTATTAACGAGTACTTCACCTCCAGCAGAAAACCTACAAGCCAGTAGAAGACATACAATGCCGCCTTGAGGCGGGCAATGTTACACCCGCCGGTGCATAACACAAAGGTGTAATGTGATCAAACAAAGTGGAAGCCTCAGACCACTTTGTGGACAGTTTTATATTGTGGACTCGTGTGTCTCGTACCGTGAAAGCATATTTGTTCAGCTGGGTTCAGCCCAATAGGCCCTCCGTTGCATTCTCGTAGTAACACTTCTGGTGTTATACTGTGCATTTAATTTGTTTTTAATTTTGTTTGCTTTTTATAAAGCATTTAAAAAAATAATATTAGATGTGACATGAAGCTCATTTCAAATTGCTAAGGCCGCCTTTTGCTTTGCTGGGCCCTCTGCGGCAGGGGTCTGCTGGGACTCAGCCGGATTGAGCTCGGTCTTTCTCTCCTTTCTCTCGTCCAGTACCGCAACTATTCTTTTTCAACCTTTATTGCTTTCTGTGAAGCGAAAACTTGAGAAGCAAGGTGCAGTCTCCGGAAAACGTGCACCAGTATGACCCTCGGCGCAGCAATGGTGAGAAAAGTGCTAGGCTTTTTCAGAGTATGCCAGAACTAAATCAAAGAGTTTAATATTAACCAGAAAAAACCTCTGTCCCCTCACTGACTGTTCAGAAGGACAATATTCCACGTAGGGTTCGTCTATCAAGATGAGGAAACTACAGTTGACTATCGGTAATTTCTCGTTCTTCATCCTAGCTAGCTGGATGGCTGGCTAGCCAGAACCGGCACGTTTGTCGTGGATGACCATAGAAACTGTTGAGTCCTTCATGCCCCTGGGAGTTGCTCAGAGCCTGTTCTTTTATTGTTTGGTAACGCATTGATTCTATATGTAGCACAGCTTAGTAAGCACTGTCTCCAGCCGTTTTCCTCGCCTCTTCTCAGAAGGGAATACTTTCTAGAGAACAATACGCATGTACGCATGTGGGGCAACAGACAAACCCTTCAACTGTGGGTTACACACGGTTGCTACAGATAGGCAAAAGCTAGGATGAAGAACGAGAAATTACCGTCTCGTGTGAACATAACTTTATCAGAATGTTAGTTTGCTTGCCATATTTTGGCTCACCAGCACAGAGTCAAAGGGAATAGACCCAGAGGGTCAACTGAAAACTGAGATCAGCCGAAGTTACCATTCCTCATATCCCTGTATCATGGGTAAAACACTGTTTTGCAAGATACAATGCCGCAAAGTTGGTACGTTGTCAGCTGTAAGCGAGCACGACATCCCCAAACATGCCTGAAGCCGGTCCCCATGAAGCAATGTATGACTGGCGTAGTCGCTGAGTCATCACGACTTTCATAGAAGCCTGTATGGGATTTTTGAATCGGATAGAGCTTAAATGATGATTGATTTCGCGAGTTGGTGGACTAGCTAACCCTGTGTCTATTGCTCATATCAAGGCAATTTCGTGTTCTTCCCTAGGACCCGGTCAATTATAACGTGAGCCAAAGCTGTGATTTCTAGAAAGTGTCTATATGTGTATATCAGGTGGGTGATTAATTAGCCAGTTTCGGAAGATGGGGCCTGGTCGTTGTTGCAGATGGAGTTGCTGTGAAGATGTAGATGCAGCAAGGTGCGCTACAACTTACTCAAGGTCGGCTGGCTCGCGGCTTCCCAGGCCCTCTGGCAGCTCTGGAATAGTGTGTGCGTGCTGGATCTGCTGGATATCCTCAGTCCTTGTAGAATTCGTCTGTATTGCACCTGTCGAGGACTACCGCCTGCGCGACTCATCACTTTCGTCCGGATGGCATCATCCATGCTACACGACAAAAGCTCGGGGTATCTATGACCATAACGCAAAAAAGTTTTACAGTGAATCACTCTATTTTTGTCTATGAAGAAGGATTAATGAGGACAGGACTTTCAAGCTGGTTACCTGCAGGTACCGCTAGCAGTAGAGCGTGCTGGCTCCCAAAGACACAGCGAGATTACTGGGTGCAACAAACTGGGTGCAACAAATGGGGATTCTGCCTTGGTTTTAGGAAGCGTTATATGTTATGCATTCATGTGTAATCTGATCAATTTGGAGGAATTCATCTTGCGGAATATGTGCAATGTCTTCCAAGTGCGTTGAGGCTGGTCTGATCCGAGGCAAGACGCTGTAAAGACGCAAAGCACTACTGCTTCCTCTGTTGCCAATTCCTCGTCCCAAATTAATTTTAACTTCAATATCTTATTTTATTTAAGTCCCAAACTGCACATGAGATGAGTACAACTGCCCACCGCGTCCGCACCAGGTGGCCGCCTGGCTGGATGTGTGCACCGCGGAACGGGAACGGCCTCTTGAGCCCGCGGCCTCCCCGTGGGTGGACTCCACCCATCAGAACAATTTTTCTGTTGTGCGCCCCTTGTAAAGTCGGTTCAATTTTTGTTCATATTTTATTGTACGTTATTTGTTTGACAATGGGGTCTTTTTTCAAGGCGTCCGCTCTTTGCCTCGTGGCGCTGTGTGGGATGCAGTCGGGAGCGGATGCCAAAGCATTGACATTCGTAGTCAAGCCTGTTGGCGATGGTAAGCATATTCCGTGTTTCCATTTGCGTTGCCTTATTTCTTTGTTTTTTTGCAATCGTTAGGGCGGTATCGTTTTGGCAGTACATTGATTGTGCGCATAACGCTCGCAATTTGCAGACAGGTCGTGTTAACTTGTGGCATCCACGGTGTTGCGTGTGCCGTGCGCAGATGCGTACACGACTCTTAACCTGGCCCGCAATGGTGATCTTACTGTGAATATTAATTCATTGGAGAGGAAATCTACTCTCGAGGAAACCCTGAAGACAGCTTTGAATACGTCGGCAACCGCACTTACCGGCTCTGAGTGTTCCTCAATGCAATTCCACTCCACGCTCGTAAGTTAATTCATCACTCTATAAAGGCGCTGTTAGACCCCCATGTGATTTTCCGCAAGTTGCAACACATATTTCATCTTCCGCTCTGTGTATTTCCAGGACAAAACCACGCTTCATACTGGATATTCAAAAGCTGCTGGGCCAGATTATCGCCAGATGATACAGAAGGTACTTGACGATGGGCTAAAAGTCGGGTAAGCATGTCTGTGCTTACTTTCCCGTACGGTTAGATACAGTGAGTATTTCATGCAGGTATTAGTATGTACAGATGCCTTAAACCTCAATTTTTTTTTTGAATTGTGAGTATATCTGGCTGTTTCAGAGATTTGGCCTCATATCCCTCGAGTTGGACCAACGTTTGGTCTGACGCGAATGGCGCCAACCTCGCAAACCTCCTCTGGTCCAAAAGTAACGGTGTTGGCTGTGCCTTAGCAGTTTGCGCCGAAGACGCAGCTGAAACTGATACGGCTTTCCTAGTTTGTCAGATGGATCCTGCACCGCAGTTGAACAATGCTCCCTTCGAGTAAGTTTTGGGTCTAACATTTTCACATGGCAAAGGGTGCATAGTTGCAAAATGCGTCCCCAAAATGTCTAATTTTTTATTGTTTTTTTTTTTACAGGAAGCCTTACTACCTAGCGCTTAAGGAACGAACAACGAAACTGAAGGATATGAAGGAAGAGGAACTCAAGGGCACCACCGGCGGTTCATCCATTGCCGTCCCATCCGTTCTTCTAGCCAGCTTGGTCGCCCTTATCGCAACTACTGCTGCATAGAGGCAAAGTCCAGCTGGATGAAGTAGTTAGGCTTCAGAGTTTGCAGGCAACACACGACGACCTCAGGTTGTTAACTTCCGTTCAGCATATGGGCAGAAGCATCTCACTCCGACCTTTTGGACGTCACTTGCATGCCTAGTCATGCAAAAGTGGCATTGCAGCAGCTACGTTTCGCTGCAGCAAGATCATGTCGCTGGACCCATAAGTGACAGCGGCATTTTTGTACAAAGACATTTTCGTTGCTATTTCCGAACACAGCGTTCATCAGTTCAATCACTATTGACACGTTCCTATGGTTAATCTAGAATTGGATTGTCAATAGATTGCTAAGATGAATTGTAAAATTGAAGTACGCTAGATTTTAGTAGAGTAGCGAAATGGTCATAAGAATGTTCCCTCCTGTCCTTGCTTACTCCCTAATATCTTTCCATTGCTGACCTGCACATGTGTGTCTGCCTGGGACGACAGGGTTCTTCAAACGAAGTGACTTAATGGCACCTGCAGTGGTGAAATCAACTTAATCTCAAGAGATCTCGGGTTCTAAATCTCCTAGGGCAGCCTTGAAGTGTAACGAACAGCGAACTCTGCTCCCACTACCTGCAGCTCGAATGCAAACGAAATAGTTGCACACTCCTCCCCTTTAGTCGAAAATCGACGGATGTCCCTTAAATAAGCCGAAATAATCAAATAGCAGTACTTAAAAAGTATTTGAGTCCGTTTTATGTGGGAGAAAACTCAAGAATAACATATCTACCGCCTCGACCCAGGGGAAGGTCAGTGCTGGCTGTGAGGAGTCGGCTCTCGTGCACGGGCACAACACTTGGCTCTCCGCTTAGCCTATGGCGAGTGAATTCGTTATAAGGAACAATAAAAAAATATTTAGTATTTAGTGGGGAGCGTTTGGGTCAAATTGTGGTCGAATGGACAAGTTTAGGGCCGGTGGACTAGCGGCACTTGCCTCTTACGGTGAGGCTCGCAGCTCGTCCCCCCTTTGGGGATGGGGGGCTTTTGGGACCTTCACTAATCGGAGTGGCGTGTTTTATAACTTTTAGGAAGGTATTTGCAGAGATAGGAATTCGATACGTGGGATGCAT